TGTGGAACATTTATGGCTCTGACTTGATTTACTCGTTGTGTCAGCGCAGTAGTATCATCAAAAATTTCAACATCATCACATTTTTGTGTAATAATTTTTGGTTTTTTCGTCATTACAAAACACCTTTTGCACATTTTCAGAACGACGTGTTCTGTCTCATTATAAACAATAATAACAAGATTTTTGCAGTTTTCAAAAGTTGCCGTTTTAGACATTATAATTATTATATAATGTATATCAACAATGTTTTTCATCACCAAATTGTTCACGCATTTTTGCTCAAACATTTTAGGAAATTCGGTTGAGTCAAAACACAAATCGTTGACATTTTCATACAAGTTGGACTTGTTAAATGTTACAATTTGAGACCGTTCAAAGTGAATTCTGTTGTAATTTCCCAGCCCATACGTATAATTGATACATCCTATTGACTCGACAATGTCGACTTCTTTTGTTTTACTCGTTAATCCAATAGTAAAGTGGGTACATTGGTGAATTTTTAGTTCAACCACGTTAAGCGTCAAGTTATTTTTCATAAATTCAAAAGGTGCAACAAAATTGCATTTTTTCATTTCTACTCTTCCAAACGCACTTGTAGAGAAATTCGGGAACTCCCCAATGAAATTTTCAATTTTCAAATTTGGAATGAAATTGACGTGTTGTTCAATACTGAGTGCTGTGCACACACAATTTTTGATTATAAAATTGTGACTGTTAATTGTAGCACTTTCAGTTGTAACATTTGGAGGAAGTGTTGGATTAACATAAAAATTTATATGATGTGCATCAACAACTTCATTAAAAATGTTTTGTCGTTCGGGGCATATTGAAGAATAAAAAGCATTTTTAAAACTTTCAAACACTGTTTGGAACAAATTGTTTTGATATGATGTAACTATTGTTTTTGGGTATCCAAATGAATATGTTCTTAAAAAGGGTGTGTATTCTTTTGTCAAACACTTTTGCTTCAGTTCCTCATATTTTTCTAAAGTGCTAAATTCACAAGTCTCACTTTCATTTGACTTTGAAAGACAAATTGTGTGTTTTGGTAAATTGAAATTTGATGGAAATGTGAATGTTGAATCAAAATATTCAACTTTTTGAAGGGAGTTAAAATTTCCTTTAAAATCAATTGCTTTTGATGAAATAATTGCCAGCTTTTGTATTTTTGAATCACCAAAAATGAAATCGCAGTCACAGCTATACTCGATTTCGATAATTTCACATTTATCAAATGTGTTTGAAAAAATGAAGTTCTCGATGTTGAACAGTAACACACTCTTTGTATGGGTGAAATCGATATCTACACATTCCGACAAGGCTTCAAATACAACTTCTTCAGCTTCGACACCAACTTTCTTTTTGAGTGTCGAATTTGAAATCGCCAACTTCTTAATTTTAGTGTTTTTCGCTATTTTAAAATTCGAAGAATCGTAGACAGACAAAAATTTCATGAAGTCTGTCTCTGATGAGATTTTTGAATTTAAAGAATTTGTTATTTTGACACTTAAATTTTTATTTTTTGTATTTAAGAAATTGAATGTAAAATCTGGACACATGTCAAATTCAAAAGTTTCACAACTTTCGCAGTCGATGTTTAAAATGCAGTTAGAACAGTTTGTACATGTAATATTTTTTGCACATTCTTTATTAATACACAACTCAACATTTCTTACATAAAAAAGTGAAAGTTTTTGTAACGTTTTAAATTGTTCATAGCAAACATCACTAAAATCGATCAATTTCAACTCTTCGACACTGGCAAATGGAAATTGTTGCTTGTTCTCCCAAATACGTTTTTTATTACATTTATCAAGTAGTTCTATTCGTTTCTTTTTAACTATTTTGGCGTTCGTTATCTCAATTTTTTTAACAGTGTTAAATTCTTCCGAAAATTGGAAATCAACAAATCTTGAATCAAACTCTTCAATGTTCAAAACATCAGGAAGAATCACAAAGTTTGTTTTTTTCTGTTCGCCTCCAATTAATATTGGTATATTTACATTATATGGTGAAATTGGTTTGAAGAAATTTGGTACAAATTCTTTATTTAGTGAAATTGATTTGACGAATTTTGGTATTTGCAAAAGACTCAAATCACAAACGTCACCCACAAAAGTAACTTTTGTAGCTGCACTTTTTTCGATGATTTTTTCAACTTTATGTAAATCAGAAATTTGAGTCAAATTTTTTGTTTGAAATGTCAAAGAATTGTTACTGATGAATGGTGTAAAGTAATCTGCATATTCTATACTAACATTGTTTGAATAATTTCGACAATTTTGTGTCAAAGTAATATTTTCCATTGATAATATGGTATAAGTCCAATCAATATCAATTTGTGTTGAATATTTCAAAGGAAGTTCGTTAATTATATTTAATAGTATATTAATGGCTTCATTTGTTGTTTTGAAAGTTTTATTATTTGTTATAATAAACAAAAATGTTTTTGGGAAAAACCTTTTTAAAGTTGTCACGAGTTTCATACTGTTCAAAGAAATCGATAAAATTTATGAAATAGTCTATTGACATAGTTATCTTTTGGCGAAAAGTTTCTATAATCATTTGAAATAGTTTTTGTGGGTTGTTGTTTTCATTCACAAATGTATCTATAATATCTAAACTGGTCATTTTTTCACAAATATCTGGTGTAAAATTTTCAATAATTTCAGGAGTGTTTTCTATAACGCAATTTCTGATATAAATTGGTTTTGAAAGATAATCGAATGATATTGGTAAAAAGTTGCAGTTCAACGTGTCGGGGTGGTATAAATCGTAAAACCTTTCAATGTCTTGTGTTAAGGTAAACCACGGGTTCACTTTAAGAAAACTCACCGCGGATTTGGCGCAGTGGTTCACTTGAATAAAGGTAAATACATCGTACAGTGTTGGGAGATACAGCGATACTTGCATTAAATATATCATTTCAAGACGCGACATCTCAAGTTGTTATTTGATTTTATTTTAGTTGTCGTTTTTAAGTATGAAAAAAATGAGGTTTTGGGTTATATTTTTTTAACATCATTTATAAAATGGTTTCAAACTAAAAACTTTGATTTTTTAAATTAATATATATATATACTATATAATTCATACAATTGTTTTAATAATCATTCGCCCAGCAAATGAACCTTAGCCCAAAGTAAACTATATTTTGTTATTGTTATATTTAACTAATAAACTATGCATATATAAAAGTCATTTTTTAAAAATAATACTTGTTTTTTAGTTATTTTATCAAAACCCGTGTTTTAATAAAAATAACAAGAACTTTTTTGTAAAAAATAAAATAATAGGGCTAAAGTTCATTTATTTAACTGAAGATATTTTTTTATTGGGTCAATTCGGGCTATCCCAATAAACCTATTCTGCTCAAAAATGCAGAATTCAAAATGTAAAAATAACATTTATAATATTGTAAAGCAAATAAGCAGGATAAAATTACTAGATTTTTTAAAATAAATAAATAAATAGTTCCCATTTTTGTGGGTTTGTTTATTGAGAATATTTAGATGATAAAAACAATAAAAAAGGGAATATACTGACCATCATCATTACATCGGAATTTGAAAAACTAAGAATCAACCACCTGACGTGAATAAGCCATATTATTATTTTTAATATAGTTTCATTTAAATTTTGTTTTTTATTTTGAGAACTAACAAATCTAATTTTCACAAAATGTTACTTGTTAATAATATTAAAAAGCTGATGTCAGGAATACAAGATTTATTATAAAAAGCGGTTAAAGGGGTGTAATATTAACAAACAATAAAAACGATTATCCGATTGAGTGTTAATAATGTTGTAAACAATTAATTAATTTTAACAAGGAAAAACTAGAAAATAATTATAATTATAGGATTTAAATTTACATCCACTATTCAATTATGAATAAAAGAGATTTTTACACCTTCAAAACAAAAACGTAATTATAACAAGTTCTTATTTTTTAACCTAAATCCTTTTTGCCTTCATACACAAAACAAATTTTTGCAATTTTTTATTTATTTTTTAATCAACTTAAATTTGAATTGTTTATTTTTTGGTCATACTTAACATGAAAGTGTTAACCGATTAAAAAGAACGAGACTAAAAAACTTGTTAAAAAAATAAAATTGAAATTTTGGTTATTGTTTTTGTTTAGATAAAATGTGTAAATTGTTTTTGGATTTTTTGTGTTTTTTAAATAAAATAACTGACAATTCTTTTGCAAACCCATTCTGCCGCACAAGTCAGAGAAAAATATAATTGTAATAAGTTTGTCTTGCTACTTCGATGTCTTCACAGTAATAATAAAAATTTCTATTCATTACTAGTCCACTTAGATAAATAATATAGTTCTATTTTAATTAAAAAAAACTACTATATTTTTAAAGCACTGATTTTTAATGGAAAAAAGGTAAAAATAATTTACTACACAATTCCATGATAAACCCACAAATAAATATTTTTCTTTGTTTGAAAACCCACAAATAGATGCTTTTTACTATATCTGGAAAAAAGTGGTCGATTATATTTCAGACTTAAAGTTAAAATTGCATTATAATAGTAGTAAAAACCTAATGTCCGAACTCTTGCTGTAGTGTCGACTATGTAAAAACTGCTGAAGAATGCATTTTAATATAATAGCAATTTTATATATCATTTATTTTTAAATTTTTTTTATCTCATTTATATATTTATAAAAAACGCATTTTTTACGTCTAGTGCTTTTTGTTCAAGAAAAAAAATACTGATGGCCGGTTTAGTCTTATGTGAAGTTACAACTTTATCTATTTTAGATGCTACATTGAATT